TGAAAATAGATATATATGATCTATCACAGTTGGCTTTGATTTCAAACCGACTACATTGACATAGAGAGATGCTTGTTGATAGAGATATATATGATGGATTGTTTACTCGATCTTCTTGCATGCCTTAATTTGATTTAGGTTTGTCGGTTAGACATAATCCTTCAGATTGATAATCTTGTTGATTTAAATGACTTCATATACTAGTTATGTCAGGTGGGTCTGTTACACACTTCAGATGTATCGGAAAAGTACTGAAGCAAGTAGGAGTATATAAAGTTATTAATATCTTTTTGTTTGATTACAATCATCTTTCTCCTTCCTTGGTTTAGGCATTATTGAATATTGGAATAATACCACAAATACTTGTTGGGTTGGACTCAATGAGATGATGATTACACTTTGGGATCTATATATCATTTATGACTTGATAATTTACGAGTTCTATATGAGAAGTGTATTCCTGCTGACTATGATTTATTTAGCTGCCGACCAACAGGGTAGCAGAGGAGGGGAAAAGTTTGTTTACTCAGCCAGACTTCACCATATTTGAGGCACTACTATGACCTATATAAGTAAAGGAGGAGAGGTCGTAGTACAGAGGGACTATTTCTTTAAATATTTGGATCGCGAGCTTATTATATACGTCAGCACTTGTTGCAAAGTTTGGATGGATTCAGGAATACACTCCTCATATGAAACTCCTAAAATTAGCAAGTCAAATTATATATATATCCAAGAGTGTAATCGTCATCTTATTGGGTCTAACCTAATAATTATTTGTGACACTGTCCCAATATTTAACAATGCTTTGAAGCTAAGAAGAAGAAAGACGGATATAATCAAATAAAGAGAATAAAATGACTTTATATACTCTTGCTTGCTTTAGTATATTCTGATGCATCTGAAGTGTGTAACGAGCCCATTTGACATAACCATTCAAAGTTTGAATAAGATTATCAAACATAGAATCGTAATACAGCTCATCAATCTTATGATGTAGCAACTAATAGCTAAGTAACCTGACAACACCTGTATGCTGTGCAAAGTTAGCTACTGGTTGCAAAATGTCTTAATCCTCATAACTCAACCCCTCGAGGATACGATCCAAAGAAGTACCATCACTGTGCCGCAATCTATGTGTAATGAACCAGTCTGCAGGATCATTTTCAACCGACAAACTCAAATCAAAGTGAGGCATGCAAGACGATCGAGTAAACAATCCATTATATATGTCTCTGTTAACAAGCATCTTCTTATGCCAATACAATCGGTTTGAAATTAAAGCCGGCTATGATATATCATATGCATCTATTTCCATTCAAATATTTTCTTTTGACAGTTCAATTTTATGCATTGATGAATGTCTCCTCCAATCAAACATCGTGCCCTGAAAAGACTTAGAAGAGCGATGCAAATCATGACTATTTTTCTTCAAATTAATCACATGAAAATCACACAATGGCTTCATTGGGAGGCAATTTGTTGAATAATTTTTAAAAAATAGGTAGAGGAAACAAATGAATGCATCACTTCGATTTGGCCCCACCTCGAATAGTTAATCATCAAACAACACAACTCTTCGATACTAGAACTTGTATTTTCAGAGATAAAAAAGGAAGAAATTCAAATGAAAAAAAGACTTAACACCATTTTTCTCGCTCGCATTCTTCATTCCTATACTCCCGCTTCTGAGGAGTTCCCGATTTTCAGTTGAAACACTGTTGAGAATTCCACTCTGACTTATCTTTATCTCTATTATGAATTCCTTAGACCCGAACTTCACTTGTCTCTCCAACTGAACTTAGGAAAATCCAATACCTTCAAACAAATTACCCCATACGCTAACACCTCATGTTCGTCTTTTCGTGTCCGTGAATACTCATGGCCGACTTTTGCACGTCTACTTCCACTTCTCACGGCCAAACCCACGCCGGATTCCTCACCTCCGCTGAAATCATATCACAAAAATAGTTTTTTTTTTCAATTGTACTCCCTCTATCATGAACTGTGACCTCTGTGACGTTTGCGTCACAAGCAAACAATAAAGTCTTGCTTAATTGCTTACAACTGGAATTGCTTCAGTTTGCAATGATTTAAAATACAAAACTACTGTTTTGCCCAATGTCTTGCTTCAATTTGTAATTATTTAAATACAAAGCTACTGTTTCTCCCACGTGAAACATGTCAGCCTTAATAAATTGTATTTCTTCTGCTATATCTTTATTTAAAAATCTTTTAGTTGTTTTTTATATTGATTACATTTTTTCACTTCAAACAAAAACCCATTATTACTATTTTATCTTATTCTAAACTAATATAAAAACTAATATAAAATAAAAGATAAATTATTGGCCTAAAATATCATATCCGATTTAAATACTATAAATTGAATCAATTAAAATTAAATTAAATTGCATATGCCTGTTTCCTTTGCATGCCTAAAATTTCATACAAGTTTTATACAATAACAAATATGGACAATTTCATCAAGACTTAAACCATTGATCTTAAATCTAGCTAAAATAATTGCCACATTAAAAATCTACACCGTTGATTTTAAATCCGGCCGATATGATTTTAAATTCAAGACATTGCACCATCGACTTTAAGTCCGGTCGAGATGATTTTAAAATACAAGACATCGCATCTTCGATTTTAAATCTAGTCGATAAGAAATCTAATTGAAGACCTCGCATTGTTGAGGCCGTTATGGTTTCAAATTGAAGACCTCGCGTTGTTGATCTTAGGTCCGACCGAAATGGTTTCAAATTCAAAGCCTTGTGCCATCGACCTTAGGTCCGGCCGGGTTTGAGTTAATGAATAGAGATGGTGATTTTGAGTTTAATTTGCCAAAATGAGATCCAAGTATGATGATTCCATTTGGTAAGAATAGAGAATCATCATACTTGGATCCCAAATAATTTATTTAGGAATTCAGAATTTAAAAAAAAAAACTCAAAATAAATTGAATACTTGGTAGAGGCTAGGGGATAACATTCTAGAGTTAAGGAATGTAAATTTATTTAGGATTTCAGAATATAAAAATACTCAAAATAAATTGGATGCTTGGTAGAGGCTAGGGATTCTCCAATTTTGAGCAGTATTTGGCAAGCGGACATTGTGCTTAGCTACTTGGTAGTTATTAAAGTGCTTAGAGAGTAATAAGAAGAACTCAACATTCAAAAAAAATACTAAGGCCTCATTTGGTTTCTGCACTCCTACATAAGCTGGTTGCGAAACAATGATTGAAGAAACGGAGTTCTACAAAAAATTAATTAGAGAACTGATACCTAATTTGGTTAGATAATTCTTTGAATGCTTTCACAAACCTAAGCTACGCTATTCTCAGCAGAAAATACAAAATTGTTCTGTTATTAACAGTAAGTAAACAGGAGACGACTTTACGTAGAGCTTCATTGCATCTAAAAAGGAGATCAAATTCCACTGCTCGACTCGCAACATACCATCGTCATCGAACTCGCCGGCGAGACGCGGGTCTACCACATCCTTCCACTTTCCTGCGCCCACTTCTCCCACATCCAATCGGATCTCCAAATGGGAAAGAAATCTAAAGAGATAAGCAAAAAGATAGGAGGAAGCTGTCAAATCCCTTCCACCGTAAGCGACATCCGGTGCAGTTGATGGCGATACCGGCGAAGAAACTAGGGTTAGCGATGGATTCTAGCGTAGCTAAGAATGACGCCATGAAAGAAGAAAAAATCTTGGACTCAGAGCATTCCAATGCTAGGAAGAGGAAGAGAGATGCGGGAATAATAAGAAGAAGAAGAAGCTTGTGGAAGATGCCAACGTGGATGGGTCAAATAAGACGAATAATAAGAGGAAGAGAAATGAAGTGGAATTGGAATACGAGAAGAGGAAGTTGGGTTCAGTCGGAGAGGATGAGCCAGTGGCCACCGTTGTTGCCATTGGGGAGAAGAGGAAGTTGGAAGCTGCTGCTTCTGATATGTTGGTGGGGTAAAATGGAGTTTTTCGTTTTTTAACTGAGGGAGCAGAAGGATAAGCGGCATTTTTTCCTTTTCAGATCGGTAGAAAAACGGAGATACAGGAAAGGAAAAGGTATTATGTAAAAGGAGTGTTATCAAATAGTATAGTAACTGCTTTTTGAGATTGAACCGGAAACAACATAATTACGCCGAAACAAACGAGTCCTAAGAAGTCGTAAAAAATAAGATTAAAGTATTTTGAAAACAAGGCGTTTTGTTGAATGTAATATTTGTACGCATTCTTATGGCCTTTCATCAATTAAAAGAGCTGTAAATCAACATGAACTAGGCTGCTTCGTCACTGAGCTGGCGTAACTTTAGGACCATGCTAAATTAGGCATGTCATTCTACCATTTCACTCCTGCTTGCCCTTCTGATAATCTACTTCTCACCTGGAAATATACTCAACGTCGGTGAGTATGTATCAGTAAAAATGCCTAATATATTAACGCCAGTAATATACAGAAGAATTAGCTTAATATAAGCAAAGAGTACACATCTTAAGTACACAATTGGCCATATGAGAATTCTACTAAGTTGGTTAGGTGCATATTTTTCATGCAAATACATTTAGTCATATTAAATGAATATCTTAATTATATCATAAAAGTACAGTGCATTGTATCCCGAGGCCACCCCGGCTCCCTGAAATAACAAGGGCACCTCCAGGGTCAAAGTGTTCTATAATGAAGGTCACACTGCCTTTCCTTCAATCAAAGGTTTCTTGCTTGTCAATTACACCAAACTTTTAAATATGCAATTTAATTCCTTTTACCGAGTCAGAATTTCTTATCAATTTTCAAGATAATTTGCAAAACCAAGATACTTGTCATTTAAAATTTAAAAATTTATAGGTTTTTGGTTTTGGGACTGCCACTCATTATGTTATTATTTTCTTTTTTCACAGTGGACGGATAACATTTGAAAGGCTTTTGCCTTTTAGCTCTCATTATATATTATATTTTGGTTTAATTTCCTTTTTTTTGTGATGTCAAGGTTTGGCCACCTGAAAGTTTTGGTTCCATTGGGTAAAAGATGTAAATTTCGTTGAGGCATGCAAGAAGGCTATGTCTCTATCGTAATCTTCTGTGAGTGCATCCTTTCTGCTTTGCATTTCTTCCTTGATAGTTATTGAAATATTGCTACATGACTTGCCTAAGAGCTTCTCATTATATAGTGATAGGTTCTCTTGTCCATGCAACTATGCATAAAAGCTTCTGTTATACTCAGAATATCAATGAACCTAATTTTTTCTATTTTCTCTGGATGCTTTTTAAGTTCCTTGGTTTATTTTAAAGTCGTCAAGATTCCTTCAAAAGTAAATAATAATTCATTCGCTTCATTGATTCCATGAATTTCCATGACATAAAGGAAGATTTGAAAACACATTTCAGACGGAGAATACATTTTCAGAAGTTTTCAAATTTATGAAGGAGTCTTTAAAAATTTGTTCTTTTCAAATTCCTTCGTGTACCTGAGGAACAAGATTTTCTTGTTTCACTGCAAATAAAAAAGTTTTTTTTTGTTTCCCTTGCATTACTGTTTGGTTTAACTCATTAAACAGCTACTTTTGGTTTAGGAAATTGACTCCGATGCACAAGTGCATGGGATAGGGGGAACTGAAACTATGGGATATTGATTTTTTTTTTTGGTACTTCTAAAAAAAAAAATTTGTGATTTTTTTAATAATTTATGATTATGAAAACCAATTTCATTTCTTATAATCCATCTTGTATTTTCTATACTTAGAATTCTCACCCTTATAGTTCTTTTGGGTTCTTCTTCTTGTGAAAATAGATGGGATTCGTGCATAACTTGCTATGTGGACACTTTTATTCGAATTTGATCTATTTTGTGGATCACAGCACTTTAGTTTTGTATACTTTTGTCTATTCTTCTTCAGTAAAGAGAATCAAATGTTTGGTCACTTTACTCTTCGTTTGGGATAGTTTTTTGCTACTTTATAAAACTACTTTTTAGTACAAAAATTTCTAATTTAAGAAAATTTTGTACTAAAAAGTCGTTTTAGAAATCAACAAAGAAGTTGTTACTCCTTTTTCCACTGAAACTTACGTGCACATTCATAAACAGAACCTGTCATCTCTAAAGTATTCATCCCCTATTCTTCTTCCACTCATAAACTCTCATTCTTTATCTTTCTTTTCTACTTATATTGTGTCATGTCATTAAATTCAATTTTCTCCTCTTATGACTGAACCTTCTCAGGCTTCTTTGCAAAGGGTTGGCTATTATTCAAAGATATTAAGATCAACGAACCTATTTAAATATATGTTGCGCAGTTGATCTTTCTGTTAAAAAAAAATGAGAGGTCTGCTTTAGAAACTATGGGACTTCATTTTTTTTGCCATGCCAACTTTCTCCATTGTTCGCCATTTGCCTTCTCTATCTCTGTGCTACAAACAATGTATACGGGAAATATTTTTCTGGAGCAAAATGATGCAACCTTTGATTCATGATTTCAAAAGTTCTCTAATTTAAGTGATAATTTTAGAACAATAATATAAAACTTCTATCCCACCAATCTTTATTCTTCATTGTGTACTATGAAGTGTCAAATTTTTATTTAAATTTAATAAAAAAAAGACATTTCTAATATTTGTTAACTAATTTTGTTTCGTTTATCTATACTTCTCTTAATATAGACCAAATTTAATATATCTATTCTCCTAAATAAATCATCGATAAGCTGGTGTTTTATTATAGGACCAAATCCTCTAAAGCAAAATTTTTTAATATTAGGTTTCATTTGGAATGATTTTTTTTTATTGTTTTTTAATTTAGCTTTTAAGTACAAATTTTTTTAATTTTTTACTAGAAAAATGTTTTAAGAAAAAATACAAAAATTGTTCCAAACGAAGCTTTATCTATCCTTAAGCTACTTCAAAATTTTCATATTTTTTCTTTTCTTTATTGTTTAAAGAAAAAAATACTTCAAAATTTTCATATATATATATATATATATATTGCATTCTACCTTCAAATGTGAATTCATTCATTCACCTTAGCATCTTCTTCTCTACATTACTTGAATTTAGTTTCTCTTACCATCATTTTATAAGATTTTTTCTTAAGTTTAATGATAATTATAATATTTATTTATTTTTTCTTTTCTATAACTGAAATTTTGTTTAACTATTTAGAAGATTTTGACTAATATAGTAATATATATAAGCATGTGAAAATTTATATAAGCAAGTTACTGTACAAATAATATAATTGTATAGTAATTTTAATCTTATTTTTTTGACTTATAACGTAGGATCTAGAATTCAACCATTGAATGTATGACCGTTGACCGGTCATCAGTAAGTAGTTCAAACTTGGCTTCTTCATTCCTTCCAGAAAAAATTTTATTCAGCAAGTTAGCACGTTTTTTTTTAGTTTTTTTACAGCAACTGTTTGGTATAATTTTTTTTTTAAATAGCAAAAAAAATAATAGCAAAAAATTGTTTCAAATTAAGGATGCAGCTTTTTTTATCTTTATAATCTTTCCTAAATCATCCAAATATAGAGTGAGATCAGCAGGATCTAGGTGAGCCTCCCACGAATTTCCTTCTTGGCCGTAGGATCAAGTGTCAAGGGACGATTGAGATTTAACACATTAGCCTAATGTAAAATATTTGGGGTTGGCTTTAAGAATCCTACCCCTTTATTTATTACTTTTGAGTGCTATATGAATAGTTTCTACTTTTTCATTCATTTTTTGGCTTTACTTCTAGCCCCTTGACATTTGATCTTCTCCTTTTCCTGCCAATTCTGCTCACAGAGATTTTTCTAATTACCTTATTGGTGGATCTTTAGCCGGGCCAATGTTATCTTCCATATTGTCTTCATTGTGCTCTATTCCCACTATCTTTCTTGCCCCATCGTTTCTAGGTTTTCCAGCATTAATCATATAGCACATGAATATTGGTCATTAATAAGAGTACATGTTTTAGATATTTTGGATCTGTTGTTCAGAGTGATGGTGAAATAGATGGGGATATTATCAGTAGAATTCAAGTTGGATGGTTGAAGTGGAGGAATGCATCGGGTTTGTTATGTGATAGAAATGTACCCCTCAAACTTAAGGGAAAATTCTATAAGATGGTAGTGAGGCCTGCAATGCTTTATGGTGCCGAATGTTGGCCTTTAAAAGAGAAGCATAATACTAAGTTAAGTGTGGCAGAGATGAGGATGCTCAGGTGGATGAGTGGCTTTACCCTTAGAGATAGGATACGAAATGAGCATATACGTGAAAAGGTTGGAGTAGCTCCAGTAGAAGATAAGATTAGAGAAAGTCACCTTAGATGGTTTGGTCACATAAAACGACGGCCTTGCGATGACCCGGTTAGGAGAGTAGAGGTATTAGATTTGACTTATGTTAAGAAAGGTAGGGGTAGACCTAAAAAGACTTGGTTAGAAAATATTAGGAATGACCTTTCTTTATTAGATTTAAACAAGAATTTGACTTTTAATAGGACACAATGGAGAAAAAGGATTCATGTAGCCGACCCCACGTAGTGGGATGAAGGCTTGATGTTGTTGTTGTTGTTAAATTTTGAAAAGAAAAATGATGATAGTAACAGATGCATTGCATAAATAGTCTCAATCATTTCCTCCAAATGAGATGGGGACATTCATTTTATCTCCATCTTAATTTCAAATCCAAAGCATTATCTACAAGCTACAAAACTTCCCGATAAGATAACTCATAATCATACAAATAGATATATATATATTTTATTATCATTGATTGATCATAACACCACAGCATTAATCAATCATTCCCACAAAGAGCCCACATCAATTATCAATCCCTCCATAGTCAAAAGCAACCAGCCATGGTGAATATATTATTTTATTGCTAATAAATTAGTAATAATCTTCATTTTATGTAGTTTTTTTACTATGAGGATTATTCCTTGGACTTGAAGCTTATGACTATATTTGGGATGGCTTTCTTACTGCTTTTCAAAGTAACTTTCTAGTAAAAAAAATTTAATTTTTTACTAGAAAGTTGTTTTAAGAAGCAGTAAGAAAGCCATTCCAAACGAAGGCTATGTCTACCCCATGGATAGAAAATACCTCAATAGTCCATTGCACAATTTTAGGCTTCGTTTGGGACGGCTTTATTACTGCTGCTTAAAGTAGCTTTTTGAAAGCAGTAAGAAAGCCGTCTCAAACGAAGCCTGAAAACTTGCTATGAAGAGTGAAATCAAATCATTCTTTAACTGAATTCAAATCTAATAATCTAACTTGAACCAAACTGAACTGAAATAGGTTTTAGCTCAGCTTTTGAGATCAAACAAATTGAAGAAGAAATACATTCTAATTCAGCAATAGAGCAGAAAGTAACTCAAGCTAGGTGCTACAATAATGCTGTGGAAAGGATTAAGAAAGAAACTAAGCATAGGCTAAAATACATTTACAGGAAAATAAAGACACACAAACCATGAGAAGCACTGTTATGTTGCAGGAAACACATTAAATAAAACATATCATCACATATAAACATCAGAATATATAGTTCTAAGGATATAACATCAAAGCTAAAAACCACAGTGCAATTTAATCCATTACAGATAGTTCATATTTGAGGTTCTGCATAAGTACCTAAACAAATATTCCTGAAACATAAATAAAAAAAATGTCAACAAAAATAGAAACCAGAATGAAACTGCCAATGGAGATACTTACACTTGTCTCTTTATTTACAGAAGATGTCCATTATAACCAGTTCAGATAGATTCAGAAGACATCTCCTGATATTGGCATGTCTTCAAAGCTCCAAAGCTCCATGAAATTTATCCCATCTTGAGTCATCTCAGAACCAAGAAGAGAATCAAATGATAAATCTGAGTTCCCTTCAGCGAAAGGCATGAACTTCATGTCTGGCTCAAAGGCTAACAGCTCTTCAGAGAGCTTCATGGCTGCAGCTTGATCAGTTGAAACTGCCTCGCAAGAATTGTTTTTCAGTTTCTTTAGTGGTGCAGTTTCTTCCATGAATTCAGATTTAATATCTTCAGCAATGGTAGGAGGAACTGATGTGATCTCAGGGTAATTAGTTTCATGTTCCCAGCCAAATTCTGAGCAATTCAGGGAGTTGCTTTCCTGCTCAGAGTGGAAATTTAGGATGGCTGACTCAAGCTTAAGGGGCTCCTCTCCCAGTCCTAAACTAGAATATATATTGTAATTCTCATTGTTCCAGTAGCCAAATGAGTCATTGAAGTTGAATTCATCAGAAGTGTTTGGTTTAACTGCTTTTGTTGAACTTAGCTTGTTCAGTTGATTTTGAGCAGGTTCAAGGACTACTTCAGGGAAGTTTACCTTGGCTTTCTTACCCCGAATCTTACGAGCTGCAGCATCATAAGCTCTGGCAGCTTCCTCTGGAGTGTCAAATGTTCCCAGCCAAACCCGCTCTCCCTTGCGAGGATCTCTAATCTCAGCTGCCCACTTACCCCATGGGCGCTGACGAATTCCTCTGAATTGATTCTTTCTCTTCCTTGTGGCTGGCTTATCAGCAGCTCCTGCAACCCATAGAGAATAACCAATAAGAATCAAAATACAATTTTATGGGAAAAATATTTCCATAGAGAATAATCAGATCTAGCTTCTAAAGCTCCTCCTCCTCTACTCAGATTAACTTCCTATCTTCTATCATGACACAGAAGCTTGTCCTTGCTGTTTTTCTTTTCTTAGAAGACATGCAATTATCTCTATTTCAATAATATTATGAACAGATCAACCATCAAGGATTAGTTTTTATTATTTTGCCAACTGCTCAGCCTACATATGCTGAACAATCATCAGTACATAAGAACAGATCTAATCCCAACATAAAGAGGAAGATTGCAGATCTCTATCCCAACAAAAATTCTTTGTTGGAATCAAGAATCCATTGTCAAATTAGCCGAACATCCTATTCCAAAGCTATCGATCAGATAAGGGTTTGTTTACAGAAATTTATTTGGCTAAAAATCAATAATAATAATAAAATAGTTCTATGAAGAAAATAAAAATGAATAATTAATTACATGCGTTAAAAAAAAGGGTAAGAAAATCTAGCGAGAAATATTCAGCATTACAATCAGTTCAAAAGACTCAAATCCCATAAGGTAGAGCCTCAAAGACCACACAAATATCCTATAGATACATAAAGAAGGTGCTTTCTTCCATTAATCAGAATCTTAACATCTCTAGAATGAAGATTAAATCGAGTGATGCTTCTTCACCAAAACTATCCCTACCTTGCAGGAAAATTAAAGGTTAACAACAAAAAAAGGTCAATAATTCTCCATTCTCCTACTTACCACGGGAAAAAGTCGCCGCCTTCGTGCGAAAAGCCCCGGGCCTGACCTCGATTAACTTCTCCACTTCGTCCTCCTCAGGCTCGCCCTCAAACTCCTCGAAGTCGGCCTCAAAATCGTCAACGAACTCTGCCGCTCGAATCTTCCGGCCGCCTTTGGTATTCTTCCTCAGATCCGGCCATAGATTGTGGGCGGTCACTCTCCGTGACCGTAAGCTAGGCGTCGGAATGAAATCGGATATGATCGCTCCACCGCACATCTCGAAATGGGAAATAAAAAGTCTCTCTTTCGTCTTCAAGAAGATGTGCGGAAACGATGCGGAGAGGATATGCTATATAAGGAAGAGAAGGGTTTTGGTGGAGAGAATACAGTGAAAGCGTGTGGCCAACTGGGTTCGTGCGCGCCAGGAAGCTGCGGCGGAAGACATAGTGAGCTAAAAAAAATAAAATAATATAAAAACGTAAAATCAAATCTTAAATTATAAAAATTTATTTTTTTCATTGATATGGTTTTCACTACTTGCATTAAAACATTTTATAACGGTTGAACACTAGAATATTCGTGATGGTAAAGTAGAAAAATATTTCATCTTAGCGTTGCACGAATATTCAGTTCAGAAATAGAAAGAAAAGAAATGTCATAATTTTTTACGTGAAAAATATGAAAGGAAAAACCATGGAATCACGCAAAGTTGAAAAGAATCCACTAGTATTTGAATGGGTTACATATGATTGATCCATCCTTGAAGTTGAGAACGATCAAATTACAATGGTCAATCGTCGGGTTGAAATCTAGTGATAAACAGAGATCGGATGGAAGTCCGACGACAGTCGGTGGCCGGGCCTAAATCCAACATCAATTGGTGGTTGGGCGGAAGTCCGGTGAACATTGATTGTCAGGCGGAAGTCCGTCGACCGTCGGTGGCAGGGTAGAAGTTGGGATAATCCATAAATTAACAAATCCCTGAAGATTGGGTGAAAGTCCAGTGACAGTCGGTGGCGGGGTGGTGGTCGAAGAGGAGTCTGGTGGCAAGATAATTATGATTTCTTTTAATTACCTCTCTTCCTTACTTGGTCCCCTTTCAATGAAGAATGAGGGATCTATTTATAGTTTTTGTTTTTAGTGGCATGACCAGTAAATATGGAAAAAATCAAGGGCATGTTTGAAGTGTTTTGAATGGACGACATCGTGGGTTGTTTATTGAATATTTGAGTATCTTAATGATATTAGAATTCAATGATCTTAGGCTCGTTGGATTCATCTCGTTGAGCTGCTCGATTCAACTATAAACATGTCACGTTTGAAAATTACTTGGTCATCCAATTTATGGTTTGAACCTTCCAAAGGTGCTTTGGGTCTTCAATTTGGACCTATTTTGGGCTCGGTCTGGGTCGAATTTGGTGTTGTTGGGTTTGTCTGTTTGAGATGTTCACCTCGACTGTAAGTTTGCTGAAATTGAAGTTCGGATGGTGCCATATTTAATTTTGTAAGTTTCCAACTCAATTCTGCCTTGAGATTTTTACCCGATCATGATTATTTTTTTATGATATATCAATAATAATATTTAGAATCACCCTAACTTTGATTTTAGAAAATTTTGTTAAATTGAGCATCTTATGAAGACAAGTCCAACAATGTTAAAGGTAATCTAATCCAAATCTAAATAAAGCCAAATCAAATAATTGAAGGATAATCAAATATTTATGATATTAATTGAAGGATCAAAATATCTTTAAATGTTTATAGTCAAAACAGGCAACTTGATGAGATAAATTCATCAAGACCAAGATCACTCAATTCTAATGCCATTAAAGTATTTAAATGCTGAATAAATGTGTGATCAAAAGATTTGTGAGGAGTCATTCAATGAAGTGTAATAAAATTTTGACTAAATTTATTAAAATGACCATTCTAAACTACTATAAATAAAGTTTCATTGTCCATAAAAAGGAACATATAGTTCGGACTTTAGCGTGGGATCCAATAGAGCTTCAAGGCTCTACGAATTCTAGAGCTCCATTTGAATGTCACTATCTTACCATTGGAATTGTGGAATTGAAGCACCAATCAAACTCTATTATTGGACCACCATCATTGGAAGAACCCATTCATTGACATCAGTCCATTATGTGATCACTATATGACTGCCATCATTGCACCAACAATGCCCAATTACTATAATTTTAGCCAAACTACAATCATCCGAGCATCTTCAGCAGATTATAGTCCTCCGACTTTATTCGCCTGACTACAATCCTCCAACCATCATCGCCCTACTATTTTCTCTAACCAATGTCGCCCGACTATGATCATCCAACCTTCATTGCCTAACTATGATCCTCCAACCTCTGACGTTTGACTATATATAGTCCTCCAACTTATGACACCCGACTACGTTCTTCTGACCACTATTGTATGTCTCTAATCCTCCACCCATCGTTACCCAAATTTAATCCTCTAACCACCGTCATCCAACCATTATCCTCCGGTCACCATTGCTCGATTACGATTCTATGACTATTATCACCTGATTGTGTTCCTCTGAACATTAATCATAACATTATTGTCGTCTGGCTAAATCGACATCGATTGACTTCACCACTTGCCATTGCCTATAATACTAACAGATGCCATTATTTATAAGATTGATGTGAATCATTGACAAAGATGCTAACTCTTAACATCAACATCAAGATTTATACTAGATTTCTTGATCTTTGATCTCCTTTTCTCAAATGAATAAAACCAAATAGATAAGCAAACAATCTCTTAAAGATAACTCCCATGTAATAAGCACTTCCAACTTCAAACACATAGTATGTTACGTACATTATATGTTTACTGCATTGAATCAATGCATGTCCCTTAACGAAGACCATCCTTTATAACTGACTACATACACTGTGGATTTATTTCAACTTTATGAGGCAATATTTTTTTCATTGCTTCATGTTCTCATATTAAATTTTTGCCGTATAAATGATCTTAAACCCCTTTCTTATTTTAATGTGTGCTGAATCTTCGTATAAATATTATGACAATAAAATCTCTAACTATACTGTCATATAAAAATCTCAAACTCAACACACATAATCATAAAAAACTTCATCAAAATATAAAGAATTAGAATTTGACAAAAAAAAAATTCATTAAAGCACTAAAATTATTCTTCTAAAAAGAGGGGAAGAATTAAACAAAGCAATTCCTAAGATCTATAGGCAATGCTTATTTATTTATTTATTAAATGTCTTTTTTTTTTCCTTTGATAATCACCTCAAGTTGTATGGATTTACTTAATAATTAATAGTATGTACTTAAAATTAAATAATTAAATATTTTTTATTTTCCACGTGGCTTATTAGTATTTACATTAACAGCTGAGGGCAAAATTGTAATCTACTTCATTAAGAGACATATGCATGCACCATGTTTAAACTTTAACGTACTCCAGGAAACGGACAAAGGAGAAAGCGGGGCCCACTAGTGATGACTTGTCGTCTACCGAAGGGCTGGGGAAAAAAATGGGCCCCACGAAGCTTTATCCTTGGAATCATCCCAGCTTTTATTTTTATCATTTCCGTCAGACGACGAATTTAAAAATGATTATATATAATATATAATATGAATCTATTAATCATATATAATATTAAATATTTTTTTTAAATTTTTTATTTATATATGCGTGAAGATTTTAAGTGTCCTTCCTACACATGAATTCGGCGTGGCGCCATTCAGATGAAGGTAATTTATTTGAGAGAAATATTATCATGCGGGGTCATTTTGTTTGATTTGTTCAAAAAAAAAAATAAATATAATAAAAAAAATAAAGTGATTTATTTATTTTATTTGAAATAAAATAAATGCAGTATAAAATATAATGATCATCGATTAGCTATGATGAAAAATAATGATAAACAACAGCGGATAGTTGTCAACTGAAATTGTCATAAAAATCAGAATTGTTAAAGACGATAATGGTGGCTACACCGACGATGATCAATAGTACTGCAACAATTGGCAAAGGCTGATGGCTTTGGGAATTGGCGTTGCAATGAGTGGTGGGCAGTGGATGGGGGGCTGGCGGGGACAGCGGAGTTAACTTTCGATATATTTTAAATTTTGGTTCAGAGTGAGCGAGCTTAAAATACATTAAAAATTAACTATATACTAAGCTTATAATCCATGAAATTTTTTACTTTAAACTTCTTTCTCATCAACAAATTATTAAATTTTCTAAAATTGTTGTATTTTAATACTTTATATTCACTTTGCATAAAACCAATAATCAATAAGCAAAATAATATAATAATTGAATTAAATTTGAAATTAATATATATATAATTTAATTAATGTTTAATATTCAATATCTTAAATAAGCTTTTATTTTAAGAGTTACTAAATATAAAATGATCAGATATAATAATATAATATCATACTGAAAGATTTTTTATTATGTCATAAAATTGTAAGTATGATATAGTCACATAATTAGAAAATTTCTTGCAAGAAGAATATCAATTTTTTTGTTCACATTTATTTGCTCTCACATATATATTTATGTATCTTTTTATTAAAAAAAATTCAATTAACATAAAAGGTTAATTCATATTTAGCATTTTCCATATTTCCGATACTTTGAGTTAGATTTATGATTTGGGATAGGGCTTCAAAACCAAGTCACTGTCGGGTTCGGGTTCCACACGAAACTGACCCAACACTGTTCAACCTGACAGTTTTGCAAAGGTCAGTTTTCCGAATCCGAACCCGACCCGTTTCTTGTCCGGGTCAACCGAACCCGACCCGATTCGGGCTATATTTTATTAATATTTTTATTAATTTAATTTATTTAAATCTAAATCAAATAATAAGGTAAAATTTACTTCAATTAGTTTAAAATAAATCAATATTAATTTAATTTGGACAATAATGTTTATAATTTTTTGAAATATCATTTACTTATTTCATAAAAATCCATTAAATCATCCTAAATTAATTAAAAACGGGTCAAATCGGGTTGATTTCGGATTTCCGGGTCAACCCGAACCCGACCCATTTTACAAACTGGTCGAAATCTCTAACCCTAACCCGACTCAATTCGGGTTGACCCGAACCCGAAACTTTTTGAGTGGGATCAAATATTGACACCTCTATTGAGGATAAAATAAAATTTATTTGATGTTTATTTTCTTTTATTTATATAGAGGTTTTTCAAATTATGAGTAATTTGTCAAAAAATAAAACATCGCTTCTAAAAATTAATTTGGGGCATTCCGAGAATTGAACTCGGGACCTCTCGCACCCTAAGCGAGAATCATACCACTAGACCAAATGCCCTTTACATCCCAAAGCGAGATTCATGTGTTATTTAAATATTAAACATTTCGCAATTATATGTTTTTAAAACTCTCGTTGCAAATAATAATATAAATTTTTCATTACGATATTTTAAAATATATTTACAATATAATTTTTAGTTAATTTTTGATATATTGCACCTATTTTAAAATAAAGATTTTGGTTTTATGGTTTTTTTTGGTTTTATGGTTGTTCTGATTAAACTTTCATCACTTTATGCTCTTTTTTTATGAATGATTAAAATAATTATATTTTAGAGTTTGTTTAAGATGATATAATTTTATAAAACTACTTATAATATTATTATCGATAAAATAATTTATACTCTTGCTATAAAAAGTAAAATGTTATCATAAATTTTTTTTAAAAAAATTATATAAAAAAAATCAATAAAATCTTTATATATCGAAGTGGTGATCGTGTACGAATAAAAATGATTTAACAGAAAATACTTCCACGAGTGTGAGTCGACACAGACATTTCACTCTAATTTGACGTGTAGTGTGTGAGTGTTGATCGTAAATTATTTACACTATACACATGTCTAAAAAGAAATCTACTAACATGAAACTCTTTATGAACAGCTTTTCCTTTAAGAAATTCTTAATATTGAATTAACAAATGTGAGCCGTATTAAACTTGAAAACCTAAACAAAATCAAACCAAATAGCTTTATTCAAAATATAATCCACTTCATAGGCGAAGAACAAATGTGAGTAAGCTTCTCGATGTTTTTTTTTTTTTAATATTGAGTAAACATTCAATGATATTACATTAAGCATTTTTTACCCTTTTTTTTTTAACTTTTGCATCATTCAAGAAAGAAAAAAAAATACCACATCAAATTTTAATATATTAATAACCAATATTAAAGTGTCTAAGTCAAAGCTACCTCCTAAATTTTAATATATATTTAGTAAATTTTATAATAATATTTTTTCAAAGAGCTATCTTGAGACTTAATGAGTATAATCGAGCAAGACGAGCTTAAATTGAACTCATTAGACTTTATTTGGGACGGTTTTCTTTTTGTTTCTTAAAGCAGCTTTCCAGTATAAAAATTAAAAATTTTATACTAAAAAACTGCTTTAAGAAACAATAAGAAAGTCATCCCAAATAAAACCATAAGATAATTCACATGTAATTTTCCACACCATGTTATTCAAATGGGCTAGAGTAAGGATTTTAAGGATTTCAGGCCACCAAAACATTGTAAACCCACATAAAGAATCAAAAGAAACAAAAGGGGTAAAATTTTTCTAAAGCAAGCACAATTCAGCCAACTACCATTATTACAAAGCTTTCTACATAAATTTGCCATACAATCTAAGCCAAAAAATTCTAAATATACCATTTGTGTTAATGAGCTTACTGGCAAAAATATCATGGATGCTATGATCAAATATCAAATCTCCAAGCAAGTTTCTTCAAAAAACAGACTGATTAATCAGATTTCCTCCTTTGTCAAACAACTCCAATGGCTATATCCCCCATTAATGGCACCATGATTCATCTCCTGCAAGCTTCTGCAACAAGCTCCTAATTGCCTCTGTTGGGATCGATCGGCAAGGCCTGCAAGACATTTGGAATGGAAATTCATCACTATTAAAGAATAAAGGATTCAAAAACTTGCAGATGATAGAATTTTAATGGCACAATAGCAAATCTGGATAAAGTCCGAATGAACACACCTCATTATAGGTAGAGCTGAATCAGCTCATCACTGACAACAGAGGGAGTGAGAACACCAAGATCGGTGAAAAGAAGAGTTAGATACTGAGGAGGTGTGTAATCCCTTGCATTCCTTTCAACTTCAACACCTGATGGAATTGGGACTCCAAATTCAATTGGGCGAATTGCAGGAGCTAAATCTTTCTGGTCCAAAGGATACAGCCGGGCGAACTACAAAATGTCACCATAAAAATGTCATTGGACTCGTATAACTTAAATAGATACTTCAACCCTGCAATTTAGATTGCATTTGGGACGGCTTTCTTATCGCTTCTTAACGCAGCTTTTAAGTATAAAAATTAAAAATTTAAACTATAAAGCTGCTTTAAGTAGTAGTAAGGAAGCCGTCCCAAATGAAGCCTTAAGTAGAGACCAAAAGAAGAAATTAAAAACTATTAGGTGTGCTCAGATTTGATATTCATTGGCTGAAAAAATATTTGAAGAACAAATTACAGAAGATAACAAACACACAAAAACGGTCACCGAATTCAAATTTTTATGAATTTGAATTCCCAATAAACAGGAGTAGGATCCTAATTTTAGTCAGATGTAGTTAACTCCTAAAATTAACTTTGAGAGTAAAAGAACTGTGTAATCTTTAGTATAATATACTTGAGTTCTTTCTTTTTTTAAATAGATTTAAAAGGTTGTGATACCTTATAACTTTCTGCAGCCACATAAACAGGTTTGTTCATACAATGAGCCACTAATGCAATTTGATAAGTCCCCATCATATTGATGATTCCTCCACTTTCAACAACACCATCAGCACCAACAAATACCATATCAACCTCATCCATGGTATACGCTACAGCAGAATCAATTAGTAGCTTAACAGGAACACCTAGCTGCGCAAGTTCATTTGAGAACCGTAAACCTGTTCTATCTGGTCTTCCCTCTGCAAGTGAAGTTACAAATTAAGACATTTACAAAGGAGTAACTTTGAATAAGAGAAAAAAAATAATCCCTGCAAAGGACCTGTACATAAAACTCTAAACATCTTTCTATTAGATGCTGCCAGTTTCAGCACTTCCAGCACAACTCTCGAGTAGCCATGGACAAGGATTGTAGAGCCATCAAAAACAAAATCTTGACCAAGCATTGCAATGGTCCGACGAGCCTGCAAAATGGATTTCGATGTCGATCTTTCAATCTACAATTATAAGGTGAATCCAGATGTAAATAAAATACCTTCAAAGAAATTTCTCCAAATTTCTCTCCACGCTCGATCAAACGAAGTTTTGCAGCATTGAAGTCCTCATACTCCAATGCAGAAGTTCTGGTCACATAGCGCATGAATAAATCACAGCCAGCTGACAGAGATATAGAGGTTGTATCCCATGACTGCAATGTTGAAATCAACATGTCCACAGAGGAAACAATGAAATGCCAAATCACAAAACAGTACAACAAAAGCTGCTAAGCTGATATGAAAATAATATATATGTTGAACATGAAAACATTGAGCCATCAATCTGATATTGACAATGTAGGTATCAGTGTAGGAGCCAAAACAATTATTTAAGAACAGGAATGATCAGTTCAGTTTAATCTCAAAAAGGAAACCATCAAATGTCTGGTCTGAGGACCTCCATATGAAGAATGACTTCAAGCTTTGAATATGAACCATAACATGTCAAACAACTAGACATATGAACAATGTTTCAGACAAGCCATTAAATGGCTATCTCATTTTCTACTTTCTAAACTAAATCTGACGCTTGGAGATCTCTTGGCACACCTCAACATTAGTTGGACGGATTACATACAAACTCAAATTATGAGAGCTATGTCGACTCAATTTTTAAATCGAGTCGGATCAAGTAAATTAAATGGAATCGATCGACTCAATTTAACTGATTTAATTTGCTCGATTCAACTTTAATTTCATTAGCTAGAATTGATCGAGTCAAATTACATCAAATCAGCTCGATTGAGTCGATTTGAGTCAAATTAAAACTAATTGAGCCAAATAGAACCAAATCATGTTCAAATAAGCTACATTTAACCTATATGGTTCAGCCATTACCCATTCCAGCTTTCAAATAACTTGCCTCAGCCATCTAAAACCTTTCTAAATCAGTTCACCCACGCAGGGCAGCGTCGGTCATTCTGAGCCTTCAAGGGTAAGGAAAATCATATCCTAGTTGTTCATTTGTAACAGAATAGGAGATCCATTGCCTTTGTAGCCACTTCCTGACTTTTTATACTTGATAGAAAAAGACAATCGTAGAGGGAGGGTCTTCTTTTGGTTAGGAGAAATGAAGAAGAAGAGAGAATGAGACCTTGGATTTTTTAGGGGAATTCGTCTGAGGAGGTGATTTTCAGCTGGGAGTAGAGAACCAGAGGCAATTGCCTGGTTTGAGCTAAACCGAGCAAGAGCAGATGCTTCTTCATCCTTCTCATTTGTCATTTTCTCTTTTTGCTCCATACAACCAAATATGATGAGAGGGCCACTGAAATCTCTTCTTCTTTCTCGAATATCAACTCCGATGAGTTGGTAGTGATGACAACTCTGTGACAACCCAAGCACCATGAGCAGTCACTGATTTTATTTTTAATTGCTTTCGTCTCTTCCAGACTACTACAATCAGTCACCAATGGACAATAGCTCCGACAAGGTAAAATTCTCAAAAACTTAAAAAAACCTAGGACTATTGGCCTTCATGGTTGTGTGTGACGATCCTAATCAACCCTAGGTTATTTAAATCACCTTTACCTTATGATTTTCTAACCTAATCTTGGTTGCTCGCTTCCTTAATCCATGAAAATCCAAAGATTTCCAACGGATAGTTCACATTCAAGAACTTAAATAAGAGGGGAATAAAGCATTAGGTTATTGAATTCAAATACGATACCCGCTCTTGTATGATATTACATTCATGCTAAACCTAACCTTCCACCTACATCAAGGCTCAAGCCCCAAGTTTCATCGTGGCCATTGGACTTCTATCCATGGTTTTTAAAATCGGACTAGATCAGACCGGCCAGTTCAACCGATTGAACCAAGAAACAATCGGGCAGTCAGTTGCATCAGCTACGATAACCGCATGCAACCAGAGGAAAACCGTGGTTCAACTGCTAAACAGATGGATCATACTGGTTTTTCAAAAATCATACGGTTTAAAATAGTGAATTCTCAGCCGTTGATTTCAAATCAAATAATTAAAGTCAAAGAAATATATTCCTTAAATCCTAATAACTAATCTCATTCGCTATTCATCTTCTTCTCGTTCTCATCCCTTGCTCTCTCTCTAGGCCGAAACTTCTCCCCCATCCTTGTCCCCAATATTTAATTGCGTTCCAAACATAAAGCCTCTCCCATTGGAAAGAATTCAAGCCCTTTCATATATGTAACCTCCAATCTTCCTTTTAAATCCTTTCCAAAGTTAGAGGATTAATTAGGAAAACAACCACCTAATTTCCCTCCCTCCCTCCCTCCCTCCACCATTAAAAATCTGAACCCTATTTTCCCCACCTCCCTCTCTAACCTAACCGGCCCTCCCCTAACCCTAACTCCACCAAAATCTGAACCTAAATTCTCCCAAGCCTCCTCCCTTGGCCGGCCACCTTCCCATCCCTTCTTCTACTTGGATTCCTTGGAGAAACTTCTTTCTCCCAAGGAGAATCCTCAAGGGCAGCAAAAGAACATCTTCCACAATACTTCAACGCCATGTATCTTGTGCATGGACGATCCCGAACTCGACTCCGGCTTCGTTTACAACGAGCAATGCTTCGTGGACATCCTCCGATCATCCTTCTTTGAAGTCAATCCGGAGGTAGATAATTCTGTCGAGGAATACTTGGAGCGCATCATATTCACTCTTTCGGAAGCCATCGAAGAACAACTTTCCACCGTTCAATGGAAAATCACCACCACGCCAAGACAAGGGTGAACTTTTTCCACCTCCTCAATCCCCTTCCTATTCTTGATGTAGAACTACATGCTAAATTGGAAACTTGCACAAGATAGTTTAAGAACAATTTCAGATTTTAGTTATTCGTGATTAAAACAACAAGGTAAAACTTATAAATGGTCAACTCCGTTAGGCTAAGCCACACAAGAGACTAAGCTAAATCAAAACACATAGGAAAATTAAAACATTGCATGTGTAGTTTCCAACTTAACCAAGACATAACAATGAGATCTAATAGCAAAGAAGTAACAAACCTACGATTACTAATGGATGACGATTAGTAGACACAATCTCTTGCTTGAACAAATCTCAAAAAAGTAAGTATAATTTGAAAGTAAGTGAATCAAGAAAGAAGATCACCTTCCCGGAGAGTCGTTGGAGGAATACTTGGAGCGCATCATATTCACTCTTTCAGAAGCCATCGAAGAACAACTTTCCACCATTCAGTGGCAAATCACCACCACGCCAAGACAAGGGTGAACTCTTTCCCCCTCAATCCCCTTCCTATTCTCCTTCAATTGTGGTCATGTATCAAGCATAAAAAATATTGCAAAGGTCTCCACCAAAGCTTAGTAAACGTAGGGAATGTGTGTTGGACTTCTATGCATCTAATCTCGTTGTTAATCTAGGGATGTTATTGAAAATCCTCTATATTTGCTTATGTTTCATTTTCTAATTGTTTTGTGATCCTAACTATTATTGTGTGACTTGGCCTAAGCTAAGGCATCCCCCTTTCTCGTTTTTTTTATTTTCGATAAGCGGCTAACGTTTTAATTCTTATTGCTCTTACTTGAAAGCGTGCAAATTCTTTTATCAATCATGTAAAGCATTCATAGTTATACATCAAAGTGCTTGTAAAAATTAAATAATTTCAGGATTCCCAAACTCAATCCACAAGAAGAACCAATAGGAAAAACCAAATAAAACCTATTTTAAATTGATGAAAGATGGAAGAAAATAGCAAGATACAATAGATCTTCAATTAGAGAGGAAGATCCGGCTCTCCGATTCAATTATTTATGATGTTTAAAATTTGCATACCAAGGGTTTTATGACTGAACAAAGATCAAAAGTAATAACCATTTTTCTATGCAAGTCAGTTTTTAAGGATCCTATAGATCTTAAGATGAAGGATGTTTTTGTACCAAACTTAGTAGTTAGATCCTTCAAATAAAAATAATCATCACCAAACCAGTCAGTTTGTTTTATTGTTTCCAAGCTTGTTCTATTAAGAAGGATCCGTATTCAAATTAAAAACTATATGTAACTGAACATTGGAGGGTCATAGCAGGTTATAAACATAATAGCATGAGTGCGTCTAAAAGCTCCCGGATCCATTCTGATATCACTAATATGCCCCCACTAATATCTTATTTAAAACACCTAATATATATCAAGTTATTTTCAAAAATGAATTAAATGTTTTACAAGATATACCAAAATAGAATATCGGAAATATTTATTTCAAGAAATGGTGATAGGCTTCAGGTTTAAACGAACAATATATGGCACTTCATGATATACTTCTTACATAATAGTTGAGATTCATGGTTTCTGTTTATATTCTTGAAGAATTTTTTATGAAAATCTATACGCCTTAAACAAGTTTTTGAGGAAGTTCTTATCCGACTTAAGACACGTTTCAACTCCAGTAAATGGATGGTTACATGCATGTGTAGATGGCCTATATGGGGGAGAAGCATGTTAATCATGCGATGTGGCGAATACATTACTTAAATATGTACACACTGAACCGCATGACTTCAATTTATTATCAAATTCATAAGAACTCCAACAGAACCAATTAGAGGCAGCCTAGGATGGTTAGGCTTCCTTGATCATCACCTAGAGTTCATGATTTCAAATATGAAAAAAGACTCTTTACAATACAATTGTAAGGCCGTGTAATTGAACCTGCCATCGGATGTGCATTGTCAGGTGGCCTTACTAAGCAAGGCTCTCCTAAATAAAATAAAAAGCTAAATGTAAAAAATATGAAATGAATATTCGTGCAAGGACAAATCAATCTCTAAATGAACAAAACTGTAGCTAAATAAGATTCATAGGATAATCTAATGTCAAAATTTAAAAGCCTAATCTCAGGAAAATAGATAACAAAAAAGGTTGTCCCTCAACTAGGAATCTTCAATTGGTCAATTATTTTGAATCGGTAAGGACGTTGTACTCTATATCATTATTGCGACTATAGTTCAGCACTACACTGGTGGCTGTGTGAGGCAAGACATCCTTTATTTTCCTTTCAAATTATGGCATCATGATCTTTCATAATGTTTATGCCAAGTTGGAATGCCTTTAAATCCTGACATTGATTGGTGATATCTACTGAGAGAAGAAAATTATTGGTATTTAGAATCTTAACAAAGTTGCTACAAGAGGGAAAGTTCAAATCACATTTCAACACCTCAGGCGGCCTTGTACGGGAGGGAAAATTCAAATTAAAATAGTTGATGAGAAAATTTTAGAGTTGTGAAGTGAAGGCCGATTTTTCCAATTTACAAGTAAATTATAGTTTAATTTATATAGGATGGCTTTGTCACATTAGGGGTTTTGGAAGGTTGGGTGGGTATAATCAATGTACGAAAAGTACAAGAAGAATGTTGATGGACACCACCAACAAAAAGAAGATGACCAGCTGTGATGTATCCATGCAAAGAGAGTTTTCCCATTGACATCTACCATACAACTCAAAGACAAGAAGTCCATCCTAAATTACAAGTAAAATTTGATTAAATGTACAAAATAGAGTAACCGAAGGGGATGACTATAAGTCCAAAATTTAATATTGGACACATGCTCATATAATGATGATCCTATACCAAAATCTTAGACTAGTGCGGTATGATGAAGCCTCTTATTCCTTGATAGTTTGTGGCTCCAATGGCCACTAACTATGGCTAGTGAAGGACTTAATGCATTAATGCAACAAATTCAATATTAAATTGCATCACTTCCCATTCACTTCAAACATGTATCTAGTATATATAAGCACATGTATTTGGAAGTTAAATGCCTCCGAATTTCAATTGAGGGCTTTATTAAAAGAGCGAGTGAGTGCCCATTTGTTTTGGTTGAGTCCCAAATCTTTATATATAATCTTGTCATATTCCAAGCAACAAAATCCCCCATATTCTCTCCATTCACTCCAAATCATTGAGCTACATCAGCAAACACATGAATACAAAGCAACCATTCAAATTAGATGATAAACTAGCTGAAAAGAAAAAAAATGAGATGTGTTGAGAGTCAAATGAGAATGAATCCATGCGAGCTAGGGTGAATCAAAGATTAAGGCCACTACCAAAAAGTAGACCAAAAGACATTAATGTCTTCAAATCAAAATCAATATCTAGAGATCAAGAAGGACGTTGATTACCAAGCATAAAGTAGGTCGGTAAAAGCAAATGGGCCGAGTAGTAATAGAATCAAGCAAATGATTTGACCTCAAAATCTGAGTTGAAATTTTAGATCATAGATCGAAGATCACTTAAAGATTGAATTGACTTTTTGCTCAAATTGAGCCTAAATAGAGTCAAACAAGTTGAGCCCTGAGCCAATTAAGATTTAATCCTAAATCAGATCCATTTGCCTCAAACTATAAGTGTGTGTATGTGTGTGTATATATATACAATAAAATATAAATTTTAAAATTAAGGGATATTTTATATTTCAAGTTAGCATGATTCAAGCTCAAGGCAACTTGAAATCGACCAAATTGAACTGAGATGATTTGAAATCAAATCTATTTGAGCTGAGAGCTGGTTTTGAGCGAACTTATATGATTTCGATCCGATTTTAAAATAGTATTAAATGTGTTTGAAGAAGATTCTTAACATCCATACCCCAAAGCGGTGAAAATTATGAAATTTTGATTAGATAGAATAAGAGAAAGATTGGTTGCATTGGCCACAATAGAAAATTTTTAATCTGCCCAAGGCCTGCTTATGAAACTATTGGAATTATCTCTATTATGAGTCTTCTTCAAACATTCAACTATAGAAATATCTTCCACAAATTTACAAGAAGTAACCAGAAAGGGTGCATGCTAACTTTTAAGAAAGATCGAACGTTAAGTCGGTCATGGTTCATACAAAATGCCATTGTATACGTAATGACTATCAACTACAACTTAAACAACAAATTGTAAGCAATGCGAAAGCAATGTTTCTTGCCTAAATCGTACTGAAGAACCCTGCTTAGTTTGAGGAAAAAAACTTGTCAAATATCATTGGCAATTCCTATTATGCTCCTAAAAGTCTACCAAAAATGAGCATTGCTCGTAGATCTGCAAAAGCTTTGATATTTAAAAAGGAAAAATCATAAGTGCAAGCAATAGCATGATGTCCGGCTCTATTCTGCCCTTTTCATCTATCAATCAACATCACAGGACTTCCAGTAGCATACTTACAGATAGTGATTAACTATAAGCTTTCTCATGGGCAAATTAATTCAACTCTCGTAAGACACTATGCATTAGGAAGTAAAAAATCAGTACATTTTATAGGAAATTATGAGAAGAATGTGAAAAAAAAAAAAATCTTGGCACATAACTAAAAAGCAAGATTTAAAGATCTACAGTATCTGAACCGAAACAATTTGCAGAATAAATTATCTCTAAGCTTCACCTTGAGCGTGTCGGATGCTTTCTTGAGCTCGATCTCGAGTTCCATCATGGTAGTGGCCTCGCTGGAACGGATAAAGGCCGCAAGGGCCATAATCGCCGCAACGGCTTCCGCCAAGTCAGGTTTTTTCCTCCAATAATTGAACTCATCGATGACACTGAAGGCTTTCCCACTGCCGGCAGCCCTGCTCCCTCCCGTAGCCGCGATCTTAGGCAAAACCTCAGGCACCGCCGCGTTTCGTGTAACAGCGGCCTGGGCTTGTGCTAGCCAATCGCTGGTGACAACAGCGTGGTGCTCTGCCCTTGTCTGGTAGTATGCAGAGATTCCATGATCCGTGCTAGGGTTAGGGTTTGGGAGATTGTTTGGCTCCATGTCGTCGCTGGAGAGGAGAATTTGCTGGTGAGGAGGAGATGCTTGAGCTAATTGCCGCTTGTCAAGGACAAAAGAAGCGGATCTTCTCCACATTTCCGGTAGAAAGTATATAGACAATGGGAATTTCTAGCTTTCTGAAGTGGGAGACGAATTCAAGAAGGGAAAAAGAATTCAATTAGCGATATTAAGGTGTTACTGTGGGTTAATCGCTTTTTACTTTCTTGAGACGTCGGTGGAGAGCTCGCCAAATCTGCAAATCATTTGAGGTGTTCCGTGCTTTTCTTTTTTCGGAGAGATATAACCGATCTTTAAAGAAGTTGTTCAATCACATCTATACTCGGCGCATTCTTCATCCCTGATAAGTATAATTATAGTTCACAATAAAATTTTTTTTGATCATTTAAGTCAATTAAGATAAATTCACATACACATAACATATTTAATATTTAACCTCAAAACCTCTTCGTTGATAGTCAAAACTCTCAACCAACAGATCAAAATAAATTGTGTAATTCGCAATAGTGATTATGTAGCAAAGTTTTGATGCAATCGTTTCGTTTTCATATTTGACTTGTTGTTAAAGGTTAATAAAACTAGTGCTTTTTATTGTGAAAGCCAATTGAGTTTTCAATTCATCATTAGAAATAAGAGAAATTTGAACGTCAATAAATGTTATATTCCCCTTCGTAACCTCACAATTAGGTGACAAAGTTAGTTCCAAAGAAGTCAAGGGTGAGTCATGAGAAGTAATAACCAAACCGTCAGATGAATCATTCAAAACAATCTTGTTAATGCCACACACTTCCATGTTGAAAGCTTCCTCAACATGGCAAGAATCAGGAACAATTTTCACAGGATCATTCTCAACAACAACATTTGAAACAACCACTTGGTTAATAAACAGTTTATAATACCATCACAATGTTCTTGGATAGAACACTCCAAATCCACAACATTTTCATAAGCAGGAACAACAACAGGAAAAACCACTGGGACATCTGAAACCAACTCTATCGAACACCCCACATCACCAGTAATCAAAATTCCATTTTCCAAATGACCCGCATCAACAACAACCACATTTTCATGCAATGAAGAATCATCGCAAACATTGCCTTGCACATTATCATGCACAACATTAGAAAGCTTATCACCTACATTAATGGATATGGGGTTAATAGTAGTAGTAGTAGTACTATTAACAATATCGGGATTTGAAAATCTACAGTCCTGTTTCAAGTGCCCCAACGATTTGCAATAAGAGCAATAAGAAGGTAAATCTTCCATAATCACAGACTGAATAAATCTCAAGTTTTCGAGACTAACCCACACCTTATTTGGGAAATGTTTGGTGAGCGACAAAGGGTTGAGATCCTGTTCAAATGGTATTATCTGTTTTTAGAGGTCTGTCAAAGAGGGAACCAAGATCATGAAGGATTCGTGGAGAAAAGAGGTGAGGCCTAAGGTTGGGAAATGAAAGCCAAATCAGAATGATGGAGGACTTAACTTCAATATCAAAAGTAGGAGTCCATTTGAACAATTTCATAAAGCAGATGTTCACAAAGTAAAAATGACGAGCAAACATTCTACAATAATCCAAGTCACTGAAAAGCTTAATCAGCAGATGCTTCAGATTGAAGACAGTAACCAATAATTAACTAATAAGTTTGAGGTTGAAGAAAAATTTTTTAATAGCATCAAGCGAGGGTCTACAACCAAGAAATTTTCCAACCAAAGCGAACTCATAGGGGACAGCAAGCGCCTGAATTTCAATTTCCAAAATCCAGAGCAATGGTAACCCATGATGAGAGGTGATTTTGAAGTCAAGGAAGTTTGGGGATGGAGAAACACCAGTAATGCATCTCTAAAGGAATGAGGCAAATTTTTCCCATTCAAAAATTCAAGATAAACTAAACAGCTAACTGCCAGTATCTAAAAATCGGGGCGGAGAAAAACCAAGCTAGAAAAAATAAAACCAGCACACAAAACTACTAAGGGAAGGAAAGAAGAACTTCCCTGAGGGCGAATCAAACTCCGGAAGCCTCGAGCAGGGCGGCACGAAGGAGAGCGACGTTGGTTGGAAAACCCCAAGCGGAGCAAAATATTGTGATGTTGGGCTTGTTGTTATTCTTAATCGAACTTATTTGAATCATTTTGTATTTCCAAATAGGTTTGAACAATGTTCACTGAATATTCAATTATGAATAAAAATCAAAATATTTCGATTAATGTCTAACCAAGTTTTGATCAATGCTTGAACATTTGATCATTATTAAATAAAATATTGAGTTATTATGTTGCACTTCCCACAACTTTTAGGATTGACTTATTTATATCGTCTTGCTATGTATAAAAATGTCTATTCTTATCATATTTGTAAAAAATCATTATACATACTAGATCATATATATATATAGCTGAGGGTGTAATAAAAAATTATTTGATAATTTGAGTTATTTGCAAGGTTGTGAAAATCATATCGAATATAAAACTGAAAAAAATATAGTATAAAGATTCAATTGTTCGACTGGAGTTGAACCAGATATGTAATAGATATTAAATTTATTTTAATGATATAATAATGATGTAATAATCATGTAATAATATAAAATTCAAACTAAAAAATAAATAAATTCATACAAATATAATATATTCGATAATTCTAAATTTAAATATTCAATCATTAAAATTACTTCACATTTAATATAAAATTAGTTCACATATAAGTTTATAAATTAATATAAATAATTGCTAACTTAAATTTTTATATTTAAATATGATTTAGACTTTGTTATCTTTATAATTAGCACATTTGAGCCCCAAAAAGAAACATAAGCTCTTAGAGTATCTTTGAGATAGTATGAAACCTTTAGGCTTTGTTATAGTAATATAATTTTAGATTGTTGGAGTTAGATCATCAAGTTGAATCATTTGAACTATAAACAATTAATTAATTTGTTGAGCTATTTTTACCTCCTTTTTAATGTGTTATGATAATAGGCTTCAATGAAGACTCTTAAATAAGAACCTTATTTAGCATTAGATATCTATAAAATCTTCTAAATTAATATGTTCTAGAGATATTGTACATTCTAAGACTTATAACGTATAAGATTTTTAAATCAGTTAGGATATTTTATATTACTTGTAATGATGGGGATTTTAATAAGGTCCATATTCAAAGTTAAGTATGTTAACAAAGAGCTTTCACGAGATTTTGAGTAGAAAAAGTTAAGACGGCAGAAATTTCAGCGAGCGAATGCAGAAATTAGGGAGGAGGAATCGCTCAATCGCATACGAAGCGTGCGGGTCGAATGGCTCGGTTAGAGCACGGGGGAGGAATAAAATGCTGTTTCTAGCAACGGTTAAAACCGCTATAATAAAATAGTTCTAGCATCAGTTAAAATCGCTGTAATAAAGCAGTTCTAGCATCGATTAAAACTGCTGCAAATACCGCTATTAAAGGCTATGAAAACTTCATGTTTTTAGTAGTGGGATCTTATCCAAATTAATTAAATAGCTTTTAAGGCCTTTATACCAACATGACTTTTAATAGGTTTTTTGCTTAGTGTAGTTTAGCCAAGCTCCTTAAAGCGCCAACACAAAGTCTTCTTGGAGGATATAGTACATGATAGGAAGGGTTATGAGAAATTCCTTAAAGAATTAGTGCTACCATAGAATGTCAGCATATGGTGTTGCCCCCATGAACTTAAAAATATTGTGGGAAAGGTCGGAAGAATTTCAAAAAAAATTGATCAATCTTAAAATGTTCATCAGAGTATTATTCAATGAATTTATCTTATAATTCAAGAGGTCAGATCAAATTCATCTGAGATTGATTGCACCTTGATTGAGATGTGATAATTTTTGCATGTTTTCTAGACTGCAATTGCATGTTTTATATAGAAAATTTGTAAAAGAAAATCAGCGGATGTACGTTGCTTCAAACTAATATTGCCTTATTAAAACCATGTTAGAAATGCCCCTTCCCTTGAATATTTGAAGATTATGATTTTATTCCCTTCCTTTGTTGTAAATCATTGCTTGTCTGCCCGAATTTTCTTTATAATGACATACTTTTTCACATTCATCTGAGGTTTCGCTTGGGACGAATTTTTTACTGTTTTTTGAAACATTTTTTTGTAATAATTTTTTAATAAAAAGCTATTTTAAGAAGCAATAAAAAAGCTGTCCCAAACATAGTTTAAATTCATTTGAGTTTGATGAGAGAGAGAGAGAGACTTTTATTTTGCATCTTGGATACTTTGAGTACCATTTCCATATTTACAACTGGAGAACTTTACAAAAATTGGAACAGCAGAAGCAAAAGGATCGAGCTGCTGCTTACTTAGCTCCCATCTTCAAACACCTTCTTAATTTTGTTTGCCTGTTGCACAATAGACGCCATATATCTGTAGATCAACTTGAAATTATACTCCCAGTGTTGTTTAGCCTCTTTATCTCCCTACTTACTATAAGAGCTTCAGTTGATAGGTTCATGGACTTGTAATCCAGACCTTTCTCTACTAAATCTTCAAGCTTTCCTGTAACAATGGAAAATAGAAGATAAACAAGCAAGGAAATAAGAGAAAGGACAACTAGATGATGATGCAAAAGATTTTATTGCTTTCTACCATCTTCTTCTTGTTGCCAAGACAATCTTGGTCCTTCATCATACCCTTCACAGATCAATTCCCCTAGCTCATCTCTGTAACATATTACACCAGTCTCCTTGTCCTCAAATACCTGCTTGCTGAAAGTCTGAATCAGCCCTCTCAAATAATATATATGACATGTTTAAGAGGGATTAAGTTCACCTTGTCAACTGGGTTGAATTTCTTCAGAGAATTTGGTGCAGTTTGAAGCAGGACATGGTGGTTTGTAGGTTTCAGAGTTCCAGGCATCGCCTGAGAGTTCCTGGCCATCGCCGGAGAGTTCATGGCCGTTACAGGTACGTTTATATTGGGGAAGAAACGTTTGATCGCCATGGAACTGTGCTGTGATCTCTGTTAAGAGGGAGAGGAGGAGGTGGAATTAGGAGCTGGTTCTCATTAATAAGATCAGCAAGGTAGTAGAAAGCTGACTTGTTTTTAATTGGCTTATTGCATAGTTTTTGTTGATAAATTGGTGGATTAAGGGGGGCTTATAATTTAATTAGAGGTAATTGATTCATGTAAGGCACTTCAGCTGATTGGTTGAAGGGTTTAGTTGGCTAATCAAGGCTTTGAATAATTAATTTCGTATGTTTAGATGTTAAAAGTATTATTAGCAGATTATAAAAATAATTAAACAGACTTGGCCTTAATTAACCTGATAAATATTGGGCTTAATTAATGATTTCTGCAATAAAAAAAGTCTTGGGAAACTTGTTTTAATCGCCCATCTGCTTTGCAATAAAAACAATCAGTCAAGGTGCTCTTCGCAATAATTTGCATATTCAGAGCTTAATTTAATTTGGAATAATTTTTTTATTGTTTTCTAAAATAATTTTTTATTATTTTCTAAAATATTTTTTTATTATAAAACTTTTTAATTCATTTTTTTTTTAACTAGAAAGTTGTTATCTTGTGGTTGACATATTTTTGAGATGATGAACTTGAAGATAGAGTGATCAAATGTCAATGATGTTTGTAAGAAAATAAATTATATGTATAATTTGTATGTGGATATGTGTTTATGAAGTACTTACTAACATATATAATATATTTTTTTATTTGAGTAAGCATTACGGTTAGTCAATCTAATAGGGTAGTATAGTACGAATGAGTTGAGAATAAGTTGGAGCTAATTTGAGTTTGGCCTGCCTCCCAATGGCATGCATAAACAGGAGCATGAGCTTTGGTTGAAATGAGCACTTTCCCCGCGGAATTTCAGTATTCCGGCTAATTTTTTCCCTGCCGGTATAAGACGCGTATGAAACAAATTCCGTCGGGATTTTTTTAGCTAGATATTATTTATGACTGCTTTTCAACTGTTTTTCATTTTGGATGTGGTGGTGATCGGAGCGGCGGCTTTCAAAGAATAGCCATCAGAGATTTTCGACGACATTGCCGGTGGTTTGACCGCCGGTAATTTCCATCATATGGGCCACCGAAAAACCATCGGAGATTTTTGGTGGCATTACCGGGTGTTTGACCAGGGAGATGAGGCTCAAGGCCGACGTCAGCTATGGCAGAAGGTTGGTTGGAGCTATAGGCGACGAGCAAGCGGGGTCTCAGCTTTCTCTGGGACAGAAGGAAGGAGACGCGTTGAAATGAGGAAGAAAGAATGGGTCAGGCGAAATAGGGCTTATCCCGGCGGAATTTCTGGCGGCTTACTTGAAACCCGTGGTTAATCCGTCGGTAATGGTGTCCAACTTACATATAACCAATGGATTTTCTTGTGGCTCTGGGACCGCCAGAATTTTCGACAATCAACCCGTCGATATAACCATTGGTTAACATTGGCAATCAATCCATAGGCTTGATAAGGTTGACTTACGAATTCGATAGGGAATCAAATTCGAGCCTAGTCAACTTAACAATATCAAAATAGTATTCATACAAACATCATTTTTTTGATTTAAAATGAGTTTTTAATTATTGAATTTATTTTAAAATAATTACAAATATATTATTAATTAATTAATTTAAATTTATATTATATTCATTTAATAATTTAAAACTCATTTTGATCATATGTTTGACTTATTCTTTTTGCTATCAACTTGTCATAATTTTCTATTTAATTTAAGAATAAGCCATTCACTTAGCAACGATGAATTAGATATTAGTGCAGGCGTTAATCACAACCTTTTTCACATCTTTCACAATATATTTTTTTATTTAAAAAGTATTTATTTTTGTCTTTATTGCTTAGATACAAAATATGCATTATTGTTTGAATGGCTCCCTAAAAATAAAATTAAGGGTTCGTTAAAGACAATTTTTTTCTGTTTTTTTTAAATAATGTTTTAATATAAAAACTTTAGTTTGAAAAAATTGTTTTAAAAAGCAGTAAGAAAGCTATTCCAAACAAAACCTAAATATATATGATGTAATAATAGGGTTCATTTACCCCTAAAACATAAATTTTTTTTTTTAATCATTTTTTTTATTTTCTTCATTTTTTAGATTTAGGTTGATTTATATTTTTGAATGTTTTAAAAAGATTATTTAATTGGATCTAACATATTTCATAAATAAAGTTTAATGATAGAATTTTTATAAAAAAATGACAAATATTTAATAAAATTTTAATAAAAAATAAATTTTTAGCTTTTAGTAAATTACATAAAAAATAATTGAAAATTAAATTAATGATAAAAAAATACTAATCTATACTATGCTCCATTTCATTACCTATATGAGGAATTTAATTTATGAAGGTAAATTTAAATTGACCCACCCTAAAAATCCACAAGAAATTTAAAATACTAAAAATTTAAAAAAAAATTATTAGTCATATAATATAACTTTGCTACATTTGTGGCAGTCCTTTGAAGGTTGTGGAGCAATATCCACCTCAAGCTAAAGTTTTTAAATGGAAGTGTTGGAGAATGATTGTGTTAGTGATGCAATTATACAAAGATTATTTATCACAAGATAAGCTATGTATGGTTAATTATTTCAAATTGATGTGATGGTTGCTTTTGTTGAAAATTAAAAAAAGAAAATCATATGGGAATATCATATCAAAATAAATTTAAAAATTGTTAACTTTATTTTAAAATTAATGTTTTGTATGGAAATTTTATATAGAAAAAATATCAAAATAAATTAAGTAATTTTTAATTTTATCATAATATAATGAGGGATTTATATGTGTTGCACTTAAGACTTTCTCATTTATATGTTTAACATATAAATTTTATTTAAACATATAAATTTTATTTTGAGTTTTTCCTATCCTTTGTAGTTCTTCTAAACTTTCTCATATTTGTTTGGGCATTTTTTTTTTTTTTTAATATTTGTTTGGGCTTTCTTTTGTATGTTTTTCCTTCTTTTTGAGACCATTTGGGTGTAGCTCCTCATTTTATTTCATACGTTTGAGATGTATACATGAGCTTCTATCCTATTGAAACTATTTCTTCAGGTAATGCTTTGATTTTCTCCAAAATATTTGTATTTGTTATTATTATTATTAAATAACCATTATGTGTGAAATCTGATTGTCTAGATCAATTAGGTTGTTATATTGCCTCGGACCTCAAGTTTTTCATGCTCACTGGAGGCTGCGAGGGGTTTACCCCAGCATGGGTTTGAGTGATTTGCACACGATTTTTTTTTTTTTTGTACAATGCCCTGGCGTGGTGTACCCGAGCGCCCTGACGCTATGTACTCAAGTGTCCTGGCATTGTGTTCTGAGCGTCCCGGTGTTGAATATGAGCAGAGCGCCGCAATGGCATAGATACAGCGTTGTAGCAGATGAAGACAGAGGTTCAAACGCTGCAGCGCTTCAAACTGGCACCGTAGAACTGAGAGACGGACAGGACGGTTTTATATCTCATTTTTCTGAAGGGTTGAGACCTTTGGGGTGATTTTATTTGGCTTTCTCTTGTATTTTGGTAGGTTAGACATTAAGAATTGTGCATGTGAGAAGAGAAACAAGGAGAGAGTGAAAGAGAGAAGAGAGATATACTTATTCCTCCCAATTTTCACAGTGGATTTCTTAATGTGGTGTGGCTCCTTAGTTTTTTCTCTATTTTGAATTTTTTTCACGGTAAATTATGATGTCCTTTATTTTTCCGTTGATTTTACTTTCTTACTTGTTTTGATCATTGTGGTGTTTACTCCTACTCGCGCAACAATAACTTCTCCTTAAAGTAGTACAAAACTGGAAAAAAAAAAAACCCTAATAGTAAACCTAAGGTTTCTTTTGAGTACCTGTCTTACTTTTTAGATCACAATTATAATTTTTATTTTACCTCTGTTATTTCGCTATTTTAAAAGTTTTTATGTTAGAAAAATATTTTCTATAACTATTTTTAAATTTTGATTTCTCTATAACAGTAACAAAGTTATTCCAAACTAAACCTCAATTTAAAGATTTTTTTTTTTTTTTTTTTTTTAAACTTTTTTTTTTTTTTTTTTTTTGAAACTCTAAACTTTGTCTGCATCCTCCTTGATAGCTGCCAAGTTGAAGATTCTAGATTAAGAAAACACAATAATTCAAATTGTCCTTCTCACCAGTGGGCAACAGCAGATCAATGTTCAGAAAAAAGATTCTTCCTCTACACATTTTTTTTCGCCAAGTCAAACAAGCCAAAAAAAATAAGAACCGAATGGTCCATTCTGCATAAGAACTATACAGAACAGAAAGAGCTGCCTACTGCTGATTCCTTCCTCATAATGGGGGCCAGAGAAGAATAAAGCTGCTTACTGTTGCATAGAGAAACAGCCACACGATGCACGATTTTCAGAAAAATGGGAACTTTGCTTGATTTTCTTCTTCTGAGCTTGATCTGTAGCTTTTAAAATCTGCTGTGAGTGATGGAGCTGAGCAGAAGCTCTCCACTCCTCAGCTTTCCGATGAACAATGGCCATTCTGTTCATCAGCTTCTCTTCTAAGTTTGATCTCATCTTCTGAATCTTCACCTGCATGACAGTAAGCCAAAACCAAAAACATTCGAATAAAACCTTGAAGAGAATATGAAATTTAGTTCTTTTAGGACTCAAAGAGGAAAAACACATATCCAAATCAATTTTTTTAAGGCAGTAGGTGAAAGCTTCAATGCAGAGTAGTTATAACATCAAGCACATAACAAATTAGCAATCCTCCAACAGCTTTCTTTCTGTTTTCTGAAGCAATTTTCTGGTACCAAAAAAATTAGTTTAAAAAAATGTACAAAAAAACTGTTTTAAGAAGCAGTAAGAAAACCGTCCTAAATGAAACTTTAAGAAGCACTACTAAGCTTCGTTTGAGACAGTTTTTTCATTGCTTTCTAAAACAACTTTTTAATACAAAAAATTCTAATTTAAGAAATTTTTTAACTAAAATACTATTTAGAAAGCATTAAGAAAGCTGCCCAAACAAATCTTTAATAAAGAACCATTAAAATTAGTTGGCTTTTTCAAGGAACTAATCCTAACCTTAGGTACTAT